AGACAGGAAGTACTCTGAACACAAAGGGATCATATATTCAGAGTACATTTATTTAACCAAAAGACAGTTTGATATCTGTTCTGGATTAACTAACTTTTCTTTTAATTTGCAGATGGAGGAGATATTTTATCTCTTCAGCAATATTCATGTTTTTGAGACGGATTTAAGCAAAGACTTGAAGCATATGAACTCGTATGTTTTGAACCTTTCTGGTTCTTATTGTCTTCATTAATCATTAACTCCATCCGCCTGCTGATTAGAGTCAGTTGGACTTTGTTTCACACAGATGGATATGTAATATTGTTTTGTTTATTGTGTCATGCAAACCAACAGCAGACATCAACAGAAAGCACATGAAAAGGAGAGGAGACAAGAGAAGGAAGGAAGAAAGAAGGAGGGAAGGATATGTTTATGTTGTTTGTTTACATCGATTAAAGATGAATCATGCGCTCGTTAAAACTTTATTGATCCTTTAAGGAGCTCACACACACGCGTGCACACACACACACACACACACACAACACACAACACACACACACCAACACCAACACACAAAGACACTCTGTTTGGCAGTAAAGGTGACAGATGGTAGAGATGCTTCAAGCTGGAATTTCTGGAACGTTCCAGACTGTTCCTCGAATACACACACACTCACGTTTACTCAGGTCAGTTTTTGGGCACAAAGTTAATTTTATTAAAACTTCATATACGACTTGTTTAAACTATAAACAAGAATACATCCGTTAGTCCGTGCTTCTCTCCCTCTAAAAAAAGGCTAAAAGGCACAAAAAAACAACATCCTCATGTTTAACACGTTTCCTCAAAAAAGTCATCTTTTTGCAAAAGGACGTATAAATGAAAACGTGGTCAAAAGAAACGTGAAGCGCTCTGGATACAAGATGGACGCCTAAAGGAAACAGATTTTGCTGACTGATTAGTGGAGGTGTGCGCAGACCCTGTGTAGGTATTGTCTGTACCTTCTCTGGGAAGACGAGAGATGTGATCTCGAGCACCGTGATGTTTCCAGCGTTTCAGATAAACGGACAGCTGGAAGAGAGGAGCGGGAACCGTCCGACAGACCGTCTGCAGCTGCTGCCGGAGCTGAGAGAACACTGAGGGGAGAGGAGGGGGTTTCTAGGTCATCTGCTGCAACATATAATGCTGCATTAAATACTTCTGCCTTTGTAAGCCTCTTCCACTGCGCTGTACCTTTCTCTGACTGCCCGGGCTGCTTGGCCTTCACCTTGTGCGTGTAACGTTTCCTCAGCGTCCTGCAGAACGTGTCCGAGCTGCAGCAGAAAGGAGAGCTGCTGTCGTTCACACACTCGTCCCAGAACAGCAGCACGTCCCTCGTTCTCAGTGGCTTCGGCAGGACTGAAAGAGAAGAAAATAACTTGTTCATATGCACGCTGCAAATGATTAACTAATAAAACTTCTATCATGACTTGGACTGGCATTAGATTCAGGTCTTTACTGACTGTCTTTTGCAGAGATGTTGTCGTTCCTCTCCAGCAGCAGACCGCTCACTCGGTCCAGGACTTCAGCCTGCAGGCTCGTCTCCTCCAGCAACTCCTGTCTGGACGGAGGGAAGTCCGTCGCTCTCAACATCTGAGGAAACATCATGAAAATCTGTCAGACATACTCCACCTTTTCAAACAGTCCCCTGTGGTCTAAATGAAACATCTGTGCTGTTCTTCAAAATATGAACATGAATCAAGCACCAGAGGAGGTTTGTGACCCTGTATAAACCAGCTCTCTCAGAACACTCTGTTTTGGTGTGTGTGTCTCTTTAAATGCAATGAGCCCCCCCTCTGAGTTTTCCCAGTAGACATCACTCCTCTGTTGCGAGAATAAAAATGGCGAATAAAAGTTTTGTTCTAGACTGGGGGAGGAGTTCATGGGTGGAGATACCAGGGGAGGGGAGGGATTTCTTTTTACCAGAATCCCACTGTGACATCACAAGGAGAGCACATTTGAAATGGAGCATTTTTCTCTGTGTTGTAAGACCACAAACAAAGGACTGGATGGATTTATTTCACATTTTGTGGGTGAGTAGACACTCAGGTTACCCAAATATATGTTCAAAAACACTGTACAAGTGGATTTTTCATAATATGTCCCCTTTAATCAAGCAGGTCTGAGGATGGAGATGGACAAAAGACATGAACTACAATCATTCATGTGAGGCTACTGCTAAAACCCTGAAAAACAAACAAACTCTATATCAACTCCAATACGTTAAAAACAAAATAAGTCATTATATAAGATCACAGAAAACATATCAAAGCTTTTAGAAACGTTCTGCACCTGGAGCAGGATGCAGCAGATATCCAGGTGAGTCTCCAGAGCCTGGTCAAAACCCCAGTTCCCAGAAGTCAGTGGGGCGAAGGCCAGCTCCTCCTCCGAAGCTGATTGGCTCCTGGTGGAGAGGGGGCCCAGACTCCTCAGAGTGCTCTGCTGGAAGGAGCTGATGCTGCCGAGACGGAGAGGAGAGGTTCGTTATAAAACTTTAAAACCAGAGCTTAATTCCCTTCTGTCCGTCCGTGAACTCACCCGCTGTCTTTAAGCCTCAGGCTGCCCAAACAGGAAGTGTCATCATCAGCGTTGAAGTCATGGGACAGGAAGTCAAAGCTACCCAGGACTTCCTCCACGGCGAGCGTTTCCTCTGACGAAGAACTCTTCAGCAGGGACAGGTCGTTCTGACGGAGAACACAGGTGCAAACTATTACGACAAGTCACAGTTTTTAAACTTTCAGGTGAGTAGAAGTACACACGGTACCTTCAGTATAGTAGGCAGGTGTGTTTAAGTACCTTCAGTATCATAGCCAGGTGTGTTTAAGTACCTTCAGTATAGTAGCCAGGTGTGTTTAAGTACCTTCAGTATAGTAGCCAGGTATGTTTAAGTACCTTCAGTCTGGTAGCTAGGTGTCTTTAAGTACCTTCAGTATAGTAATCCAGGTGTGTTTAAGTACCTTCAGTCTGGTAGCCAGGTGTGTTTAAGTACCTTCAGTATAGTAGCCAGGTGTGTTTAAGTACCTTCAGTACAGTAGCCAAGTGTGTTTAAGTACCTTCAGTCTGGTAGCCAGGTGTGTTTAAGTACCTTCAGTATGGTAGCCAGATGAAGTATCTGGTGGTCGAGCGCTCTCAGCTCTTTCTCCGAGCTCTTCTGGTTCTGTAAAGTTCTCTCCAGCTCTGAGATCAGGGCTCCCAGTCTGAGTGCCTGGGCCCTACGCTGGGCCGCGCTGGGTCCTGGCCTCCAAGGGGGTGGAGCATCTGTGGTGGGTGAGGGAGGGGTCACAGCTGGAGGTGAGGGCGAGACAGGGACGGAGTAGGACTGACACTCTGGAGAGTCCTGGAACAAACATCAAAGAGTTTGAAGACTGGTTGTTTATTGTTTTGGGTAATTAAAAAGCCAAATCAGTAAAAGTCATTAAAATCAATCCAATAAAAGTCTTCAAAACCGTCAAGATGATTCAACACTTTAAACGTAATACAGTCCACGTTTGTCATTTGCTTGTATTTGACTTAAAGGCAGGGTTGGTCATATTCTAAAACTAGCATGATTTTGAAAGTAGCATTCCCTCAGTGCTCCGTCTATGCCCCCCCCCCGTGGTCTCTCATAAGCCACGCCCCCTCACTTACATGCATGAGCGCCGTCTCTCCAGAAGTGGACCTCAGCTCATCTCTTGCATTGTGTAGAAACTACGTCGTCTCATGTCTCATTCAGCGGTAAGTAAACTCACAGTATAAACTCCGTCATCGGTGACGTGCTTTGAGTTTGAGCTAGAGCACGCAAGAGGTAAAGAGCGAGCAAGGAGACAGGGAAGCGCCTGATTGGTTCATCAGATTGGTACCTTGTGGCAGACATTGGTTGAAGTTTTTACAGGCTCACAACTGCTACAGATGACATATTTTCTTTGTTCCTTTTTCTGAGAACTTGAGTTATCAATTTCTGTCAGGACCTAAAGACAATTTCAACCAGAATCTGAAAAAGTGGATCTGGAGGACATTACCAACCCTGCCTTTGATACCCGACTAGGATGTTAGTAAAGGTCCAGATGTTGATGAAGAAGATCCTGCAGGTGTGTTTATTACCTGAACACAGACAGAGTCAGCTCTCAACGCTGCGCTGCGGGTTTCTGCTTCTGGTTCAGTCGTGTTCTTTCTGAGGATGTCGGGAGTGCTCGACCTGCACACACACACACACACACACACACACACACACACACACACACACACACACACACACACACACACACACACACACACACAGACATGACATTAAAATAAATCAGTCTAGGTGAACTCATGACCTGCAGCAGTTTTCAATTGTTAATGCTCACATGTGGAGGGCGAGCAGAGATCCTGTTTTACTCTCTGCAGGTGAAGACAGAGTATCTAACACACTCCACTCCTCCTCTCCGTCCTTCTCCTCTCTCCTTTTCCTCCTCTCCTCCTCTTCCTCCTCCACAGACGCCTCCATAGACCCCTCCTCCTCCTCCAGGGACAGGTGAGTCTGACTCCCCCCCAGACTGGTGCCCTGACTGTGGCTGGAGGGGAAGCTGTGAGTCCGCGTCAGACTGTGGAGAACAAGAAATAAATCACATTAATCTATCTCTAAATATACATAACGATTAGGACTGTCAGCATTACTTCTGATTGGCCAGCTCTCTGAGAGCCTTCCTGGGGGGGCAGAATGCTGCAGGGCTGCCAGGGGAGGGCTGCTCTCCAGGTCTGGGAGAAGAGAGTCTATGTAAGAGGTTTCAGCTGCTTACGTAGATGCTTGAAGCCGTCTGGAGAAATTCTTGGTTTCATATCAGGGAACTATGGCGTGATTTACAGAACAAGCTGTTTAGCGCCCTCTGCAGACTCATCCTGGGATTACTCCAACATACGTTTACCTCATGATCGGACACTTTGACCACGTTTAGTTTGGACATCCAGCATTGTGACACTATATGAGAGTTTGAAATGGGGATCAGCTGAACAGGTGTTTTTCTCACCTGAGCATGTAGGGGCTCTGAGGGCTGTGGTTGGGTGTCATGGAGGTGTGTGAGGGGTTTGACAGGTAGCTGATCAGGGACACGCCCCCTCTGTTGTGTCGACTGTTTGGCAGCAGAGATGGGAGCGAGCTATCTTCATCCCTCAACTCTCGAACCATCGACTGAGGAGGAGGAGGAAGATAACCTTCATCATCAGTGAAACATGACTGACATCTTAAAGTAACAGCTGTATAAGCTCCTACTGGACACACAGCGTTTACTGTTTACTCACTATGAAGTATTTCTCGGAGAAGGACGGCGTGCTCGGGGCCGTCCAGCTGTAAACGGAACCCTTCCTGCTGGACACAGACTGTCTGCTGACGGAGAGTGGCCTTATCTTCTCAGAGCTGTCGAAGGGGCTGAACACACACACACACACACAAGGTTCATTACCGGTTTTGAGATCCCCGCACCCGAGGCCGCGTGGCCCCTCGGTGCTGGCGGCGGATATGTCAGAAAAACACATTTGTCTCCCTCCACACACACACACACACACACACACACACACACATTTATAATCACTGATCAATTACTAAAAATTCTAGTTTCTGAGCGCCCCCTACAGGCCTGGAGGACTTCTGTTGTGATGTCTGGTAGTATGCAGCGTTTTCTTTTGCATGTGCTCTCTGTTCTTTGTGTGTTTATGTCCTTGCAGCATGTTTAATGATTTCATGTCGGCCTTTTGCAGCATGCTTTTTTAATTTGCAGCACATTTCCCTTGTTGTATTTGTTTTAATTTCCATAATTTCTAAAAAATGTAAAAAATGTTCTTCTTCTTGTTTGGAACATTGCAGCTTGTTTGAAATTGTTGGCCAGCATAGAAAAACAAGATGTTTTCAGACATTTAGTCTGATGTTGCTTACAGGTGTTTATACGAAGCAGAAATCTCCGGCTTATTTCTAATTTGAAGGATCAACAGAAGTCTGTTGTGTCTGGTTTTGTTGTGTTTGTGTGTTAGTGTGTGATTGCGACAGAGTTTTACGTGTGTTTTAAGAATCCAAGAAACGTCCTCCACCTGGCTTCTCTAAACCCTGAAATGTGATCTGCCACGGTGCAGGGTCACGGCACAGATCGTGTGTGAGTGTGTTTGTGTGTGTGTTTTACACTCTATATTCAGTGAGCTGCTCAGTGACAGCTGGCTCAGGTTAGAGGCAGAAAGTGAGGAAAATAACAATATGAGAATCTACAGAGTGGCTGGAGGGGAATCTGTAATCAGAATTGTATTATTTTATGTGTTTTAAAGGTCCAGTCAGTGAGATGTGTAGTGAGTGAAATGATAAAGTGATCTTACTATATGATCAGACATTAAGGAAACATGCTATGTTGAAGTGCTGGCTTCTCTGACAACAATTCAGCAGCCAGTATGTCCTACTTCTAACTTTAGATTCTGGTCCTGAATGTTCTGGATTTGTTTGGACCAGAGAAGGTAGGTGGTTTTAAGGCACCCCCACATGGCCGTTTTGGACGCCCCTCTGTTTGCCAGAGCAGTTATCAGGTCAAACCAACAGGTGTTGCAGCACCTGTGTGCACCTATGTTTCTAATAAGCTCCACGAGCAGAAAGGTGCTCAAACTAGGATCAATATTGAAGATGCTTTTGAAAAATTGAGAGAGGTGAGAACGCAGAAAGGTTTACAGACCGATGCAGAGCTGGCTAAACACTGAAGCTTCAGTGTCCACCACATGGCAACCTGTGTGAGCATGGACTCTAGAGAGGAGGGGGCGGGGGGAGACAGTGTGAATGTGTTTCTATCTTGGCAGGTATCATCTCTGGAAGGTGGAAGGGAGGTACAATAAAAAAGCACGCAAGGAACAAAAGGAGAAACATATTTCGCCTAATCTTCTGACTTGATATTTCTCCCGACATGTCATCATTCCCTCTATCAACTCTTCATCCTTCCTGTTGGAGAGGAGAGTGTGCGGTGGATTTGTGGACCAGCTGTTCTCATCGTTCATGTGAGTCATCACCTGATGACACGAGCACAGGATAAAGCGAGGGGCCGCATGTCTGAGGTCGACACTAAAGGTCAGAGGACACCTGCTCATATTTAACGCTACAGATTTAATTTCCTGAGCTCTCCACACCTATTCCCTCGTCAAATCAGCCACTTACTCTACCTGTCTCTGTGGGAGTATCACTGATTTCACTCTGTCTGCTTCGACATTCATCAACCTTACTTTCAAATAAAACTACAAGCCTGATGTCGTGGCTTTCTTTGCATATTCAAATGATGTAAAAATATAAAGATGAGGTAGTGACAGAGACTTTAATGTGTGTATGTGTGTTCATACTTCCAGGTGACCTCCAGCTGCAGTTTGATGGTTCCCAGCTCCGTGATGTCCACCAACATCAGCTGAGGCCTCGCCATGAAGAAGTCAGCGCTCGCACACGTCACCATGCCGACCAGCAGCCAACCCAAACCCTTTGCCTCCGATACCTGCAGATACCAGATACCATAACATGAACTTTAACTTGATAAAGAGATCGGAGCTCACAATTATTATTTTTTTTGTGTGAGATAGAGCTGAGTGTCATCGGCGTAGAGAGTGTTAGGAGTTAACGATGGATCTCTGGATGATTTTAATGAAAACATGATGGGGCCCGGGACGGAGCCTTGTGGAACCCCACAGGTTAAATTTAAAGGAACATTGCTTTAAGTTGCCAGACAGAGTTCGGTGTTAGATACAGAAGGAGTGTGTATGTGTGTGTTTGTGTGTGTGTGTGTGTTTGTGACCTTTATCTCAAAGTTTTGGTTTAAGTGCGGGAGGAAGACCATCTCCTCCTCGTCCCACGACTGCGTGTCGTCTGATTGGATCCTTCCTCTGATCCTCCATCGCTGACGACCCAACCGCACCACAACCTGGTCGCATAACATCATCAAGACATGACATCATACTCTTGGCTTAAAGCTGTGAATGATAAAGTTTGTTCACAGTCGCCGATTAGCTCACCTCGTATTGGTCTCCGGGGCAGAGCCGAGCGAAGCCGATTAGACCTGAGAGAGAGAGAACATGTGTTTAATGTTTGAGAGTTAGCGTGAAGCTGATAACATGCTCATAAGCTGTGAGTGTGTGTGTGTGTGTGTGTGTGTGTGTGTGTGTGTGTGTACCCTTCATTTTGATGTGCAGCTCTCCGAGGAGGATCTCTAACTCACCCTCCATGGCTGACATGTCCTGCAGCGAGGAGACGTTGGGTAAGAGTAGAGTTTAAAAAGTCAGTAAATCTGTTTTATCTAAACATGTCACTTTGTCGGTGAAACGTTTCACATTTTTCCATTTCCCAAGAGAGGTCAAAGGTCAGTGTCACCATAAGAACAATGAAACTGTAGCTGTTAAAGATTCTCTGTTTTATTCTAAAGGACTATATGTTTGTTTTTGGTCTCTCTCCTCTCTCTTTCACCTGACTGCTGTGAGCTGAAGGCTCGGAGCTCCACTTCACAACAAAATCAGCTGTTTTTGGATTAATCCTGTTGTGGCTTGTTCTGTGAACTGTTTTACAGTTCACAGAACAAGCCACAAGCTTCTGAGGCCGGCTTGAAAAACGTAACCTCAATCCAAACATCACTGAACAAGTTCACACCTCAGCAGCCCGAGACGGTTTATATCTCTGAAGTTTTAAAGATGTTTGATCAAAGGAGAGTATTTAAAGTAGAGCCCGACCGATAATATCGGCCGATATTAGCATATTCAGTGACTATCGTATCGGCTAATTTGATCTCAGATATAGCAGTTCTCTTTCATTTTGCTTTTGAAAAAATGGAGAGAGGTTAGAACGCAGAAAGGTTTACAGACTGATGCAGAGCTGGCTAAACACTGAAGCTTCAGTGTCCACCACATGGCAACCTGAGTGAGCATCAACTCTAAAGAGGGGGTAGTGGGGGGAGACAGCTCTCTACAATGTTTAGAATTTAGACTGCAGTACCTATTTTAAACACTAGGTGTCAGAGTTACATACTGCTCCTTTAAAGTGTTATTTCATCTCTTTCAAACTGTTTGTGTCGGTGTTTCCTTCGGTGTGAAGTAGAGAAATGTTCACAAAGAAAATGTGAACTACAAGTATGAATCCTGCTGATCCTGCAAAAATTGAGCATTTTAAAGACAACAGAAACATTTCAAGTGTCTTTGAGGCGAGTCAGAAACGCAGTCAGACCAACAGACACATGTTTTCCGACACCCTCCGCTGACAAACCAAATAATTTGAGAGTGAGTGATGTCTCCACGGTGATGTTTCTGTTTGCAGCCGCAGGACGAGGCTCATTAAAAGACAACTGAGGACTCATTCATCCTGTCCATCTGTCCGTCTATTAACCTCTGGTGCTCCTCGCTAACTCACTGATCCCTGCTCGATGATTCTAAACATCTCTTTTGCACGTTTCCTTCCAACTTTAAAACGTTTCCCTCTGATGAACACAGACGAACATGAGCTGAGAAGATGCACACAGACCTTTTACGACCAATCGGGTTGAGTGTTTCAGAGAGGAGAGGTCATGACCTCTGTCTGTAACACAGGCTTCTGTGTGTGTCTGTGCGACCACACACACGTGTGAATGTTCAGAACTATGAGGACTGTTTGAAAATCTCCTGGAAGACATGCTTCTGGTAGACGTCAGGTAATATTTTGAACTTGAGGAAGAGTCCCGCAGAGAGGTCAGAATGATCGACTAACACAAAATGTATCAGTCGTTATTTTTAATGTGTCAGCGTCTTCTCAGACAGAATCACTGCATCTGAAAGAGCTCTTTCTATTTTTTTTGCAGCTGTTCTATCACTGCATTTGTTTCAGACCTTTACACATGTTTTTGAATTCTCATTCTGTGTCTCCTGATGGAAATTGTTTGGGCCGTTGCAGTGCATACGCCTCAGTTAGCCACTGTAGCATCTGGCCTGAGCTAATTAACCACAAGCTTGCACGTTTGTCTGGCTCCCTCTGGATAACAGATTAAACCTTCAGGAGAGAAAGACAAACACACACTGGGGGGTTTCTGTACCTGCAGGCTGTGTCTGTGGTTGCGGTTGAGCTCCAGTAGGCTGTCTCTGGACGCTCGGCTGGACGGGGACAAAGAGAACGCTCTCTTCATGTTCACAGCTCCCTGACACAAACGCCACTGGATGCAATACGTCTCATACAGCTCCTCCACCTGCACAGACGAGGAGAGAAAACGCTTTCAAAAAAAGTGAGTGTGTGTGTGAGTGTGTGTGGAGTGTGTGTGTGTGTGTGTG